TACATTTCAAAATGAGAATACCACCTGCAAATGGAAAATACCACCTGACAGGAGTAGAAAAAAAAGTGTTTATTAAGAGTGTCAGCTACTTTTCCTAGAATAGACCTCATGTCTGCATTCAGCCCTTTAAAACCTTCTCTAGGAGGTATAGGTATGGTAGAACAGAGGCGATTAATCCACTATTTCCCCTGCACTGTGGAATCAAAAGAAAAAAAAGGCAGAGGAACCCAGACTGTGAGGAATAAAGCACACGGGAAGAAACCAGCTACGAAGCTGGTTTTTCAAAGAGATTTTTAAATTTTCTTTTCAAATACTGCTTGTCCACTTCATTAGGTTGCCGCTGATCACCAGAAATGAATCGTGTTGTGTTAGGTGCCTGCATTATTTGCTGTCCCCAGGGGTTTCTGTCTGGGTGACTATGTAGTACTTTGCTTCTTGACTTGAAACCTGCCAAGTCCTCTGTTTTGCTAGAGTAAACAAGGTCTTGTCCTAGTTTAAGTAGTCCTTTTTCTGATGTAGATTGAACCTGGTAGTGAGTAACAATTGATGAGACAGCAGCTTTGAGAATAGAACGTGTAGATAAACGTGCTGCTGGAATTAATCTGTGGGGTTTATCCTCTCCTTCAGGAAGGGCAGTTCTTACTTTCTTTGACAGATTTGATGTATATTCATCTATACATCACACAGTAGCTTGCACAAATGTAAGCATTGTCCTGACTTCTCTACCCAAAAAAGAACTGCTTCCTTGGGGAAATAAGAAAGTAGAATAGTGGTATGTCCTGGTCATCTTGAACTGTTCACCTTTTTGCATTCTCAAAGATGGTGTTGAGAATTAGGTACCAAATATTCCATTGTTCCTGTGGCAGGTATGTTATAGCTGTACCATGTGTGAAGCCAGAACTTAGGGGATGGTTTCAGTTATGGTGTACTTGTGGCTTCATCTGATTCTGATTCACAGATCCATCTACATCTGTAGCACTGAACAATTCTGGAAAGCTTTGAAATACTGCTGCTCCCTAGCACTCTTTGCCAGTGGGTCCAAAACACACTCCTGTGAAAATCCATATCACTTTTACCCTTTTGCAGCAAAGGAAAGGAAGGGGCAGGGCTCTCCCATAAGCATCCTGCAGTGTAATGGCATAACATGGAACAGATGTGCTTGCCCAATACTATTTCTTGAGATTGGGCTTCTCGATATAGTGCCTTCCTTTACTTTTTTTTTTTTCCTAGATGAGGAATGGTACATTTTCCCTCACTTTTCTTTATCTTTTTCTGACTGTAGTATTCAGAAGGCACTAAATAGGGCAAAAATTGCCCAGCATCTCTGTGTTTAATGTGTTGACATCATGTGGTCTCTGAACATTACTAGTTAGAAATAATAAGGACAATAGCAGAGTCTGAGAGCTCTGTGTGGAGGGATTCTCTTGGGTCTGTACTTGAGATCTCAAGACATTTATATATACACACACATAAATATACACACATACAGACACAGAAAGAAGTATTTTAAATTATTTTTAGGATTTATAATTAATATTTTTATTTCCCTTCTGAGCTGTGTTGATCTCACGGGATCAATACAGCTTTACTCTGGCTCAGTAGCATTCTCAGGCATTGCTGAAGCATGTTTTAGAAAGGCAGCATTTATGGAGTGGCAGGTAGCATTAAAAGCATAATAAACAGCGGAATTGAGGAGTTGAGTCCTGGAGAGAAATTGGGTAAATGAATACTTTTTAAAACCTTTGATTCCTCTGAATCATCTCCAATACACCCACAGAATGGAGATTGTAATTTAGCTCTGTGCTAAAGTGGGCTATATAGATTAATTTGCCTGAACTTGGCCCCATTTAATTAATTATTCATACATTATTTAATAAAACCTAATGTGACCTGCATTTTCTACCCACCTCTGCAGTTTTTTGCAGTCTTCAGACTGCTCTGTGGCTGTCCCTGACACCAGAATAAGCCTTTCTCATTTTGCTTGAGATAGATGGCTTTCTGCAGGCCATTATTTTGCTTAGCCTCTCATGAGTTATGAATTCATGGCACTGAAATTAAAAGGTACTGTGCTGCATTGTCCACTGCTGGAGCCTCGATGTGCTTTGGAAACCTAGTTTGAAACATTTCTGCACTTTTTTTTTTCCCCCCCAAGTCAAGCACATGGAGTGAGCATCAGAGACAAGCACTGCCTAGGGAACCCAAAGAATTTGCTGCTGAGTAGCAGCAGATTGTCATCATACAATTTTCATGCCTTTGGTTTCAAGCTAATCAGTACAATTAATGCTTCAGGAAACTCTCCTCTTAATGCTCAGCCAGGGTTATCCCACGTTTTAAATCCTAAGTTAGCCACCTGAATAAAAAAAATGCTGGACAGCCAAGAACAGCCAGGACTGGATAGGAATGTTCTCAAAGGACTGATTGTATCTACTGATTGCTCCTCTTTAGGTTCCCATGTGCCATAGCTAAAGCCACTATAGAATTTGAGAAGCTGTCAGCTGCTGTTTAGATTCAGTGCTCTAGGTTCCTTACTCTTGAATCCCATAGGAAAGTGGGGAGATGCATGAAAATTCAGTGCAAGCAAGTCCCTAAAGGGAGGCTGCAACTGTTGACCTTCCTGCTTCACAGTCACCTCTGCAGACGGGAGCTCCCAGGGATTAGTGGAGGGAGGCAGAACAAAAATCAGCAACTTTAAGCTGGAGCCAGATGAATTCTAGAACTTCCATAAAGCTAAAATAGGATATAAGGGCAAAATTCTGTACCTGCTGATGTGTCAGATCAGAGCTGATGATTTCACAGGTTCACTGGCTTTAAGATGTAAATTGATTAACATCATCATCTTCTAGAAGACAAGAGCTATGTTTGTGCAGCTGCAGAGGGGCCTTCCAGTTCTGGTTGCTCATGCTTCACCAATGTGTGTAGAATCCAAAGAAGAACGAATGACATCTCAGAAAACTTAGAAGCCCATCACAGCAAATTCCTGACTCATGAGTTCTGTTTCATCCATGAGAGACACAGGTGAAGATCAACCTAAATTGAAGTTCATAGCATTATGCTGTAAATGCCACCATTCAGATTAGCAGGCAACTTGAGGTTCCAGCCCTGAATGTGCTTGGATGAGACTTTGAAGCCCAGATTATCTGAAGTGCCAAGTCCCAAATCTTTGCAGGAAATTAACAGGGCCCTGCTTTCTTCCCTGGCATGTAAATACAAGGTTTCTTCTTCCCTCTTTACAAGCACCTTGTTTTTCTCTGTCACACGTTTTGTCTCAACTACAGAACCATGGATGTGCCAGCCATTATTTCCACTGGAATTGGAGCACTTGCTCAGAGATCACCCACCCACCCACCTTGCTGTGGGTACCGTCCCATGTTTTGCACAGAGAATTTTTCCTTATCTTTCTTCCTCTGAATCATCTCTGATACACCCACAGAATGGAGATCATAAGCCTGCTGGAGCTCCAGCTTCCAATAGAAATGGTCTGGATGCTGGATGTGACATATGGCAGTGACCCAACTGCATAACAGTGCTTTCTGTTTTACGCCACCAGCCAGATTTATCATGCAGTCCAAGTAGCAGGAAATGCTATCAGTGATAGCTGATGTGCTTAGAATTCATTGTCTGAGCAGCAACAGCATAACGTACACTGTTTCATTTAAGTGCTGTTATCAGTGCTTCACCATATTGGCAAAGAATAGTTTGCCATTGTGCCACGTGCTACAGGGATGCTGTAACTGAAGTGTGATTTATATATGTGAAAGAGTAGTACACACCTACTGGCACGTTCCTAATGGACTTAAGGCACACTCAGGTAATTCCCTGAAATTTGCTTTCAAGCCAAAGCATGCCAATACCTAAGTGTTAATAATCAGTAGCGTAGTATGTGGACTACTCCTTCAATAGTAGCAGTTGCTTGGAAGACAACAGTCTTTCGAGGATGACACAGGACTTGATGGATACTGAACCATAATGCTTACCACCAGGGTTTGTCTTCCTGACCGTGAAGCAGGGCACCTCAAAGTTAAATCTGGGCAGCTGTCTTGCCAGTTCTCTCTCTCACCCAGAGAGCTGTGAGCTGGTGTTCCGGAGGAGAGAGTTCCTTGCCACAGATAATGGAGCTCACCTCCTTGGCAAAGCATTGCTCCAGCTGACCCCTCTTGCAGTACAGGGCTGGCAATCAGCCTTTCTTTTGCTCCTGAGAAGATCAGTTTGCAGTCAACAAGTATAATAGAAAGGAGAAGCTTAGAGGTAGTTGTCGGGCTCCCCGTGACACCTCACAGTAAAACAAGGCATTAATTGCGTGATTCATGAAGCAAGGCAGTAAGTGGTTGATCCTAATCTCGAACATCCTCTAGACCTGTAACACATGTATCTGGTAGCTTATAAAGAAGTAAATAGTGAGGAACTTGATGTCTTGTGCCAAATTCTACTGGCTTTTTTCAACTGGGAAAGCAGGTACTTTAAATATTTTGATGAATCATGAGCTGGTCCTGCCTCATATCTACCAGATACGTTCAAAATCAGAGAACTGTTCAGTGCCATTAATTGTAGATAGCAAACCAGACAGCTTGTGACTCGTTGCCCCTTTACACAATCGAAGGGAAGGATTAATGTAGAGGCAAGACAAACTGCCACCAACAGATGCTGGTTTTGTTTTGTTACCTACAAGTTTGGCTAGAATGACTGCTGATGGGCATGTCATTAGCTTCCTTCTGTCTTCTTAGTGAGGGAATTATAAAGGTAATAGGAATACGAATTCCCTTTAATAAAAGAAAAATAATCAGAGCTAGCAAGGCCTAAAGTTATAAGGCTTAAGTAATCATCATTTGCTTGATTTATTTAAAATTATCTTTAAAATTCTGATCCAGGAGTTTCATTAGCACAGGTTCAAATGCCTAATAGAGTCAGTTTTCCGTGCCAGCTTACAGCAGGAAAATGAACGGATTAGATTCCAAATCCCCTAAGGCTTGGCTTTCTCTGACAGATGCTGAGGAATATGAAGAGGGCTTCAGCACTGTATATAGAAGTGGGGGCTCCTGTCTTGTTCAAATCCTGTATAGCTGCATGCATGGATATACCATAAAAATCTAAACTGATTTTAAACCACTGTACTGGCATCTGGCTCATTACATTTGTAAATAGATACTCTGCCTTAGAGGTAAGGGCTGAAGCTCTGAATGCCAAAGGCAAACATTTCTGGAAGGTTTTTGTTTTACAAGCAGCTTGCCTGCCTACCTACAAAGGAAAATCTGTTTTACAAGTTACTTTTTCAGAGCAAATAATCCCAAAGCATTCAACATGTGTTGTTCTGTATACACACAGGTAGGTTCCTCAAAAGTGGCTCTTTTGAGGCTGGAGGGATGACTACAGCTGGAATACAGAGCACTGTTGAACGTAAAAACAGGAGGTTTTGGACTGATAATAGTGGGACAAGGATATTTCTACGGCATGTGCCAAGGTGTCAGCAGTGTCCATGTAGTGCCTGGGGCACTTCTTTTTGTTTGTTTGGTAAAGTCTCCTCTGAACAGTTCTATACGAAAAGCTGTCTGCCTCCATGTAAGAGTAGAGCTACTTTGGCTCAATACCCGTAGCTGAGATTATGCTTTCCAAAAGTGATCAGTGCATAACAGTTCCTGCCATGATCTTGTGGACATGTTTTCAAAGTAGCTGGGGTCCAGTCTTCCGAGAGCATTGGCTGGGTCAATCTTCAGTTTGAATATGGAGAGCAGGGTGGAGGGTGAAATAGCATCTTTCAAGACCATGCATTTAGAAATACATAAGTAAATAACATCCAGCCTGAAAAGCCCTGTCTCCTTCTAGACTTAGAGAGGTGAAATGACCCGTGAACCCAAGGTAATGCACAGTGCTTGATTATTTTTCAGCCCGCTTACTCTACTAGCCACAGGGAATTTACATTCACTTTCTTTCTCAGCTTTGCACATATCAGGAAGGGTATTGGGGGGTATTGGAGCCTGGGGAAACCACTTGCTGCTGTTTAGGGAAATATCTGTTGATAATTTCACACCTTCTCTAACAGCAGCAGAGCATCCTAGCTGGCAGAGTTCAGTGGTGATAGTTCACCTGCTTATTAAGAAGTAGCCTCAACAGTGAAGAACACTGTGAAGGGCAGCAGACTGCCCCCTGGGTTCAAGCTAAGTGCTCTTCTTTCCTCCACAGTTGGATGCAGAAGCAAGTGACCATCTCAAAGAGCTCCAGGTGAAGCTGAACAATGTTTTGGATGAGCTGAGTGCTGTGTTTGGTAACAGGTGAGTATGAGGAGGTTCCTGTCCTTGAAGGATTCAATTCTTTTGTCTAATCTCATTCAGTCAGGTTATGAAGAGAAAAAAAACTTATGTCAACTGCATTATATTTTTCTTTTTGTCATAAATTCGTGGTCTTTCAAATACTGAGGCCATCTAAAGAAGTGAGAAATGGTTTTGAAGTCTCTCTTTTCTATATTGCTCTGCTTAGAAATGTAACATGGAGTTCTTTCAACTGTGAAATGTATTTGTATTACATAGAGTGATTTTTTTCTCTAAGTAGTGCTTGTCAGCAACAGAATTGCCTGCTCCTTTATTGCTCAGAAAGCAGTTTCCAGCTTAGTGTTTCTGAAGCAACATTATTTTTTAAATGTTCTGCTCTAAATGTATGAAACAGCTGACTGATTTCTGATTGTTAAATGAATATTGGAATAAGAAGGAAACAGGTTTAGAATTTGAGATTGTCTTATTCCAATGTTGCAGTCAATGGTGTTTTTTAATGTTTCAGGGGGAGGAGCTCTTAAAAGTATGGCTGGAGTAATGGACAGCAATTAAGTTTTATTGCAAATCATGTTACCATTTACCTGAGGACAAAAATGTGCTCGACTTCATAATAATTTTGTAATGAACCATAAAAGATGTCAATTAAGCAAAATCTAGAAATACAGGGTTCCCAACTGATCTTCAGAGACAACCACTTTTCATGATAAATGCCATTCATTTAATGTTGTGCTTTATTACAAGATTAATGCAGGCATGAACTGTAGTAGGGCTGAAACATGGGCAAGGGGAATAAAGCAAATTGTACCAACTTGGCCTCTTACACAGTCCATGGATTTGCAGTACTTATGCCCAAAAAAGTCATGGTGGGATTTTGCAGCAACTATTTGGATTTCAGCACACAGAGCTAAGTGGGGAGATAAGCCTTGAGTTCCCATTGCCAGTAATGGATGCTATAGCAAGAAATGGGGAAATTCAAATTGTAACTGAATTGAGTTGATAAGGTTCAAAATTAGGTAGAGGATGAATGAGAAATCATAATTAGGGGGTGAATTTTGTTGTCTGAAACCTGTCTGCATGGTGTCACTGTTACAAGGCAGTTAGGGTACAAACTTGACATTTGCAATATGATTTTAAAAGGTTATTCAGTATCAGCATACATACCTGGGAGTGTTTTACAGAGATGTGCCAACAAGAGATTTAGCCAGTCAGACGGCTCAGACGCTTTACTCATTCCTTAACAGTAATAGGGAATGAGAAGCAGAGCTGCAGTTTACTGTATAAGTAGGATCTTCTAAAGGATGGAAGTGTGGTATGTAGGACAGATATGCACAATATTCTGTGCAGAGTCTGTAAACAGTTGCTCTTACAACAGTGTGCGCACCTGACACTGCAAATACTAACTTTTCTTCATTTATGTGAGATCATTGTGCCTGCTGGGAAAGCAGCACCTAGCCGGAGAGCCTCACCACCTTTGTGCTGAGAGAGGATTGTGTTTGGGCACAGAAGTATTTTCTGCTTTAAAGGATATTATAGAAAAAAGGAGCCTTGGAAGGGTTTATACTTCACGCAAGGCTAGCTGCTGTTTTGTTCTTGGAGGCTGTAGGAGTGAAGGAGGGAATTCCTGTGGGAATTAGGAAGCAGAAGACCCTGTCTGACAGCAGAGGTGAGGTTGTCTTTTAACTTGCTGCTGCCAATGGCTCCTGTTAAGCTGTACATCTACACAAGCTTCACTTTCAGGTGAACCTGTTGCCACAGTAACTGATTTATCATTTTTCATAATTGGTGACAATTTTGTATCATATTAATTTTTATCTTTTAAGGGATTCTATTATTTTTCATCCCCTGGCTGGGGATTTACAGCATCTTGAGGCAGGGTCCTACAACTGAGGCAGTATTTGGGAGAATTGCGGGTTGAGATTAGCCTGTAACAGAACAGGGACTGTCAGCAATACAGGAAATTCTTGGTACTATTTTGTTTGGTGTGACTTATGTCTCTGGTTAAGATGTCATTGTAGCCACTAATGGCTGCTGCAAACAACTTTTCTAGAAATGGGGAAAGTGAAAGTGGAGGATGCATGGAGAAAGAGCTCTGGAATTGCTCCAGCGAGAGGCAGGTTGGAAGTGAGCAAGAGGGACCGTGAGGCTGGGGGTGGCGGTTCAGGAGAGGAAAGAGGTGACAGGGTGGAGGAGGAAGGACAGCCACAGGGCAGAGGAGTTGAATGCTAGCACCCAACCCACAGATGTCCTGGGTGGCTCACGCAGTAGAAGTTCAGGCCACTTATATAAAGCTGACTTCCAAACCCATGTTCTTGCTCTTAAGTCTTTACCCTAGCTCCTAGCACTGACATCTCTTCCGGGTTTCAAGCCTCTGTGCTGTTGGTGGATAGCTAAATGTCACTTGTAATGCCTGTTTTTAGTAACTGTTTTTTTACATGTCCAAACATTTTCCTTTATTCAATTAATTGATGTGTTGACAGCTCTGTGGAACTATTAATAATTTTTAACCATTGTATTATTTCCTTTTGAACCTCCTTTTAGCAGTAAAAGACAGAAAGTTACTGTGCTTTAATGACTTGTATGCCACTTCATTACAGTGACACTGCCCAATTTATAGCTGAGCCCCACATACCATTTTGATACTTTGACATAGCATGGACTGTATGGCAGTGGACTGGTTTCGGTCAGTGCCTGCCTTCAGGCTGTCTTTATTATTTTAAAGACAGCCTATGATGGGTCATAACCAAATTACTGCCAATGGACTCCTGGGTGCTCAGAGTTGTGCATGCATTGTGCCATTGCTCCATGCTATATCCCGGTCTCTGTGCTGTTAGCACTTGGTGTAGAAAGCAAAAATACAGCAGGGTGCTTTGAGCTAAGAACAATGGTGCTTCTTGAAATCAGGAAAGGATCATTTGTTTTTTGCAAGATGAATGAACAAGCTCCTCTCAAGTGTGATTCTGTCTTGTGTTCAGAGGTGGTAAGCTCTCTGTGGATGTTGTGCATAACGAATTGGGTGGCGTGCCTGTTAGTAACAAATGCAGTAAGGAAATAAGCAGAAAATCTCAGGAAGGAGGAGTGTGTAATTGAGTGTATGGTGTATGGACTTGCAATATTTACCTTATGTACCACAACTGGGATCTATGCCAGTGATAATCTTGGTTTTGCCTCTCTCCTATCTGTTCAGCTTTCAGACTCGTATTGATGAGTGTGTCAAGCAAATGTCTGACATCCTATGTCAAGTGAAAGGGACAGGAAACGTTGCTGCTAATGCCAGAAACACAGTTGCACAAGATGCGGATAATGTCTTGAGGCCACTGATGGATTTCCTGGATGGAAAGTAAGCGAGTGTTCATATATGTTACACATGCAGCGCATCAGATTGGCAAGAGGATGGGCGAAGGAAAAATAGCTCCATGTTCTTGGATTGTTCTTGAGATGTCTGGTCTCTAAAGTCTCAGGATGAATTAATGGCTTTTTTTCCTATATCTGCCTCTCTCAAGCCATGGATCACCTCTTCAGCCTGCATTCAGGGCCCAGAGCACATTCTCAGTTCTCCTTTCTCCCTCTGGCATTTATATCAGAAAAACACACTGCTGATCAGGTAGTAGGAAAGGCTGAAATTCTAAATTTACTAGCTGCATTTTTTTTTCCTGTACAAATTGTACTGTAGACAATTAGCAAACGTATTGCAAACCATACTTACATACTTGATACATATGCTACTCAGTATCCCAGTCATGTCATGCCCATGTGTTCTAGTCATACCTGATGCTGTTCTGACTAGAAAATAAGCTTCTGAACTATATAACGTACATAAGCTTGATCCATTGCTTTAATTAACTGTTGCCATTAACACCACACAGCATGATTCAGCTGTACAGGGACTTTTTGTGGCTAACTGCACATAATTCTCAACAGCTAAGCCTTGTTCTACAAAAAGAAATAGTTTTAAATCCTTGTAGAAGTTAAAACTTCTTGCTGACGCAGAGCAGTTCTTTGTTTTGAAAGAAGTGGCCAGCAATTTGCATAATAAATGCTGCGAGAGATGCGAAGCTTTACAAGTTTAAAATGTAGTTTCTTTTGTTGATCTTTGTATTGATTGTCCCATCTTTCTTTTGGGTCACCATGTAGTAAGTGACTCTCTGCAGCAATCGTTACATCTAGGAGCCCTCTCATTTGACCATTTTCTGTGCATGCCTTCATGAATCCTGAGAAGCCATCTTTCTTTGTGTCACTGGGGATTGATATCCTACGGGGTTTTAATCCAGCTGTGGAACAAGTAATTTTGATTATGATAATCCAAGCCTGGATATTTTTCTTTCCTCCTTTACAGAAGGATAGTCTTTTTTGATGCTTCCTGCATCCTACCCATATCATTCTTCTCCCTGTTTGGTTTTGTTCACTTGCTGTCTAACCAGCTATGGGAAGAAGGGAAATCTGGGACCAATCCCTGTTTGGTTTTGTTCACTTGCTGTCTAACCAGCTATGGGAAGAAGGGAAATCTGGGACACGTTACATGAAATAAAATTACCTGTTGCCTGTGCACTGCTACTGGCTGTGGAATTCCTGTTTTGTAACTGCCCCCGTGTGATCAGTAAATCAAGTCCAACAATCATTGCAAAGAAGAATCTAACATTTCTTGACCTTTTTGAAAGTCTCTACAATAATAAAGGAGGAGTAAATGAGAAATAAAGCAGACCTTCTTTATGTAAAAAGGAACAAACATACGGCTGATGATTGTTGGTGAATGCAATTGCAAGAAAATACAGAGGAGTCTAAGAAATGCTTTGAGGCGATTATAGCGATGAAAGATTTAGAGACTTCAACTATCAGAAACTCTGCAGGAAATTCTGCCTAATAGTCTGGGAAGTATCAATTTAGGTATTCAACAAAAATCATTATAATAACCACTTGAAGCTTAAAACGTATTTTCTATACTTGTTTGTAATTTTTTCCTATATATTCGGTAAACCTGACACATCAAGAAGTATCTTCTTAAAGGAACCAGTTCAATGATACTTGCTCTTATTTGGACTATTCCCAACCACTGTAACTTACCCCAGGTCAATAAATAGAAATGATTGAGAACAGAAATGTCAATAATCCATTTTGGCCAAACTTCTTCAGTGCTAGAACCCCAAGGGTGAAGACAGGCCGTACTTTATGAAAAGGGAAGATTTTTACCCTTATAGCAATCATTATGCCAAACTGCTGTGGATGGGGCACTGATTCGTCTATACACTTCTCCTTTTTCCTTGCAAATTGTGTTCTTTGGAATTATTCAGTTCTTGCTCTCTCCCTGCAGCCTGACACTGTTTGCGACTGTGTGTGAAAAGACAGTGTTGAAACGGGTGCTGAAAGAGCTCTGGAGGGTGGTAATGAATACCATGGAGAAGCTGATTGTGCTGCCTCCTCTTACAGACCATACGGTAAAGCATTTTCTCCTTCCTGACGCGTAGCAGAAAGTGTTGCCATTGCCTGTGTAACTCATCTCCTTGACCTAATGAGTCATCTGTCCAGGTAAATTTGCCTGCATGTAGCCTGCTCAAAGATGGAAAAATATGTCTGTAACCTAGTAAAGTAGGAGAGCAACTATATTTATAGTAGGATTGCAAGATACAGAGCACACTCTAGATGAAAAACAATTCAAAATCCGTGATCCAAAAGGAGTTGCCATTAAGTATATCAAGTTGCACTGATTAGAGATTTGCAGTCCTTTAAGAAAGTTGTGTATATGGGGTTATCCGGCAGTTAGTGTTGTCTTCATGGCATTAGTTCAACACCTGTAAACACTTCTGCCTAATTATTGTCATCTGTTGATAATCAAGTGTCTCTCTGTGTAGATGTGTTAGTTAGGGCGTGGTTTTTAATGGCACCACCATCCTGTTCTTCCTCCCACGAGGCTTTAACATCAGTATGAGCTGGTGTGATTTTTGTGTGTTTGATGTTGAAGAGTTGGAAGCATGTCCAGATAGTTTGCTTTCAAAGGCAGTCTTTTATATAATTGTTCAGCAGTGTGGACGTGCTGGATGAATTTAACAATGGAAGATTAACCTCTTCGCCAATTTTGAGAAACCACAGAAACTGATTATGTGTCAGTCATGCACTCCCAGCTGCTCTGGGGGATGACACTCAGTTGGAGGCAGTGTGAAGTCTGGGTTATAACCTCATTATTTGGAGATGATCCAGAACTTCTTTTAATCTCTGTGTTGGAGTAAACTTGTGGTCTGTGGCTAATTTATGCTGATTTGGTTTTTTTCCCATTTGTGAGTAGAACAATAGTGGTTTTCACTATTCAGCCTACGTATTTTGAGTGGACTTCTTGGGTTGCAATGTCTAGAGGAGTGTCGTAAACCTGCATCTTGCTCTGGGTGTTTCTTGGTTTGAGAGGGAAAGCCTTTGCCCGTGGCCTTAATTATGATAACTTTAAACAAAACTGCTGAGACGCAGTGTGCTGTCCTACCTACTAAGCATAAAATCAGCATGAGGTGTAAATTTGCTAAAGACTCCTTGCTCTGAGCTTGGATGTGGAGTAATCATTTCTACTTGCCTTTTTAATTTATAAAGGAGAAGAAACCCATCTAAATTTAAGAGTATGAAATTTCTTCCCCTCTGTTGAATAGCTTTAAAAAGGAACCTTTAGGGACAGGTGGTAAAATTGTCATGTAAGAGCAGTATTAACATGACTCCTTCAGAATCGAGGCAGTAAGATCAAGGGTCTTGAGAGAACCAGGGAGGAGCTGACTGAGGTTTATGCTTGCTAGTTTTGAATTTTAAAGGCAGAGTAGGAGAGTGATTCAGTGCATGTATCATGAAGAAGGCAGTAACTGTGATCAGCCAATTCTTCCAACCTGTGAGATGTTGCTATAAGTGACTTCTGAGTTTTTTTTACAAAGAATTTCTTGTTGCCGTCTCTTCAGTTTCAAATTGAGAAGCTCTTTTTGTGTAATGAAGCGCATCCTCAGTTTTCTGAGATAATTCAAAATGTTCATAGCTGTATTTTTAGATGTCTAATCAATTGCATTGTAGTGAGGAGGCTGAACCAATCCAAACTGGAACAGTCACTGTTTCAGAAAGGCGGTTGTGAACAATGCAATGATTAAAATGACCTTGTCTGCAGTCCTTGAGCAGGGAACCTGTGGTGAGGCTTGATGGGCTACAGGGCCAAAGTGCTGCTTCCACTATGCCCTGGGTTGTAGTGATTTGTTCTGTCACCACTAGATTTTCATCGTTCTAGTAGTGAAGGCTGGCTAGCCAAGGCAAAAATCATAGTTGGTAGTGTGGGCAGAAGCAGTACTTTCTCTTTGCTTTTCTGCTTCTCTGCCATGCACTTCTTATCTAGAAACGTAGAATCAGTGTTGTGAGTAGGAAGGGACCCAGAAGGATTGTCGAGTCCAACTCTTGCCCTAACACAAACGCAAGAATCCCAAGATTCAGACCATGTGTCTTAGTGCACATGTTGTCCAAATGC